CAGTTTGATCAAGTGCTTTTTCTTCTTCACATTGAATGGCAAGAAACATATGAGAAACCCCATAGGAACTTTGTCTTAGCTTGACTAGTCAGATATAGGTTTTTTGGGGGGCAGACTAGCATCTGAATAAAAAAGAGTACTTCAGAGCCAAGGAGACTGCCTCCTTTCTGGTCAAGGCAGGCTGTCCATGCTCCTCTTCGACTAGAAGCTGGGGAAAAAGACTTGTATATATCAAGTCCACATTTTACTTTTCAGACAGGAGAGACATTGATTTCATAAATAATAGTAATTTTAAAGGATTTTGATATGTTCTCAAACTACTCAGACTACCTTTCAGAATGGGCAGTCTTTCTAAAAGACAAATCTAATTACCTTATTTTCCTAGTTAACCTTGTAAAACTCCCCGTTTTCAGGATGATGGCTAAACTTTTTCGCTTAGTGTACATATAAGGTAGTTCATGATCTCCCTCTGGTCTCTCCAGCTTCAGCTTACAATGCTTCCCCAGACCATTTTTCACATTTCTCATACTTAGGTTTCCCAAATGTCTCATTATTTCATATTAGTTCATGTCTTAGTACTTCCCGATTTCCTCCTCTCTCTCAGAAATGCCTGATTTCACTGGGCTTGTCCTACTTTTCTGTCAGGACTCAGTTCTGTCAGGACTTTTCTGTCAGGACTCAGGAGGTCATCTCCAGCCTGTACAGTTCCCCTCCCTGCTGTGCAAGACAGTGGACTTTCATTTCTTCCCCCATAGCATCCTCTGCTCGTTGATTCTTGCCATCTCCTTGAAACAAGGTGTATTTATTTTTCATACTTTTACTTATTCAACTAACACATGTATTTTTAAATTATTTATTTAAATTCAAGTTGGGTAACATACAGTGTAGTATTGGTTTCAGGATAGAACCCAGTGCCCAACAAGTGCCCTTCTTAATGCCCATCACCCATTCAGCCCATACCTCCCCTACCTCCCCCATCTAGCAACACTCAGTATGTTCTCTGTATTTAAGAGTCTCTTATGGTTTACTTCTGTTTTTATCTTATTTTTCCTCTCCCCTGCACCATGTTCATCTGTTGTCTTCTTAAATTCCACATGTAAGTGAAGTCATCTATTTATTTGTCTTTCTCTGGCTACTCAGTGATCAAAAAGAAGGAAATGTTGCCATTTGCAAAAACGTGGATGTAACTACAGTGTATTATGCTAAGTCAAAGTGTATTTTTAAGATTTACATTTGTATTCCTAGTTCTTCGTAGTCATACAGGATCCAGGAGATTGTTGAGCTCAGGATTTAAATTCACCATGTCTCCCCTTTCTTCATCGCACCACAACACAATCTCTTTCCTCCTGCTCTGTAAACACACATCCACGATGTGGATTAGTCGTAGTACTAATCACTGAAGAGAAATAGAGGTGCAAATAGAGGCAAACCTGGTAAAACAAATAATAAAACACTGGGAACTTATAAAAATTTAATACATATTCAAAGTAGTTATTCCTTCTTTTTTGGTGATGTAAATTGAATAAACACTTTTTATTTCTGTGTTTCTGTGTATTCTGTTTCTGAAAGCCTGAAAGTCAAGGTTTCTTTGTTAGATGGTTTGGAACAAATTTTTCCCAGGTTCTATTTAATTTTTTGTTCAGTGTCGACTTCAAAGTAGAGCAACTTGTGTGAATCTAGGCCATTTTAATGGCCACTTTAATGTGGTCCTAGATTTCTGTGGAAAATGCATCTGAGTTTAAATGTTTTTCCTTCATCTCCCATATATACTGGGGTAAAGGCTTCATTGGTATTAGTCAAAGAAAGCAAACCTTCCATGGTCTCCAACCTCTACCCAACTAACATGTTAATTCTTGATAGAAAAAAAAGTCCCATTGGCCCTGGGATGAGTAGCATTTCTGGGGAAGCAATGAACTCTTTGTTCTCAATCCATATGCTGCAGGGATGAAGTTTTGGTGTGATGGTGGGGTGGTCCGGAGCCAAAGGCCAAAGAATTCTTGAAGACATCTTTGGTGCAAAAGGTGATTTATTAAAGTACAGGGCAGGACCCGTAGGCAGGAAGAGATGCATGGGGTCATGATGGGTAACTCCTTATATACCCTCAGGTTGCGAGAGGATCAAGGATATAGTATGTCTCTAAGGAATTTTGGAAGCAAGGTTTCCAGTACCTTGAGGGGCTAGGTGTTGCTAAGGAAACATTTATTACCATTTAATAAAACCTTAGTCATAAGAGCCTTTAGATGTATACTGAGGGGCCATAAGCTTGGAGTATGATTGCCAGCATATATCTTGGGGCAGTTAAGATAAAGGAAGTAAACTTACAGGATCCTGGAGGTTGGGATAATGTTAAGCTAAGGTTCTCCTTTTGCCCTAAAGGAAGTGTCATCCTTGAGACAGCTGAGCTCCTAGGAGGTCACTCTGCCTCTTCCAAGGACTTGTCAATGGGCTGTAGGCAGTAAGGGAATTTAATTTTTCATTTGCCTTAGATTCCCACATTACCAGGGCAAGCACTTAAACTCTTTTCCTTTGTTCCTGGGTAGCCAGAAGTGTCCAAGGAATATCACTCATATTCAACCGGGGGGGAGGGGGGGGGCGGTGCCAGCTTGCATTTTGCCCTCCGCTTGCCCCATGCTCCCTTTTCACGAACACTGTTGCACCCTGACCTCATCTTTGGTGCTTTATGGTCTGACTAAAACACACTCCCTAAAAAGTTCAAGATGGTTCTATATTCAAATTAAGCAACTTATACATTTATTATTCTGATTTCATATCAGTATCTTTTCTGAAAATTCACTGATTTTGATAAGATAGGCCATGGTTCACTGAATCATTCTGATGGCTAGAAGTGGGTCTCCCTTGACTCTTCAGAAACATGTGGTCTGGAGAATGGGGCACACGAACACATTATTCAGAAAGCTCTATTGTATCTGCAATAGTAGGAAGTGGCAGATAAGAGTATAGCTGTACATTTGCTGACATGTAGCTAACCGAAGATGATTTACTCAGGTAAAATGATTCATGACTGGCAAACTTTCATGGAATGAGACACTGAGGACTATCGAACTATTTTTGTGCAAGAAAATATAATAAAATCTTTAAATATATTCAGGAAAAGAATTTTAAAATGTGAATACGTTACATGTAACATATACATCAATCCTATAGTAATTAAAATAATGGAAGCTCCAAAGTACCACAAAATTTAACAGAAATAGGCAACTTTATTTTTAATAACACTCTTAAATCTTCCCATCAAGATATAGTAGATAACCATTTAAGAATTTTTATTTATCAGTGAGATTAGATTTTTACATACAAAATCGGCTATACCACTTTGTTTTCAAAAACAATAAAAATTGTTCTTATTTACTGTGAAAAATATGAACCATTTTGATAAATGAAAAAAAATTAATGTGATCAAGACAATCGTTTTCTTTTTATTTGCTTGCTCGTCTCTCCTATTTTTATTCCTACAAATTAGGAAGGCCAGAATGATTTTATTTGCTTCATTGTTTATGACCTAGTTTGAATCAAATGTGGATTACTCTGGTATCTGCTGAAACATAAATGATAAGTTCTTAAAGACTGGATAAAACCTTAAGTTTGATTTTTAATATTTTGAAAGCTGAATAAAAAAAAAAATTCCTGGAGTTTGTGGTCACAGAGGATTTGTCATTTTCTTCCTTTGCCCATATGAAAATACATTAATAGAAAATTACCAGTGGAAAAACATTTTTAAATTTAGGTTACATTCCTATCAACTTTAATAATAATGTTTAGTTAGCAATTGTATCAATTTCTTTCACTCAATATTAACACTTTGTCTGAATTAGAGGAGAGGTAGACTGATATTTGTATTCAAACATTTTGAAACAGGAAGTTTTAAATGCCATATGAGGAATTATATAAAATAGTACTTTTTTAATATTTGAAATTTAACTTACTATTATATTCAAAATAAGTTTCTTTTTGATAATAATAAATTGTTGCTTAAGACTCATTTGCTTGAAATTATTACACCAAGGAACTATTTCAGTTACTTTTAACTACTACTAGTCTTTAGAAAACAAGAATACCTATTTTCTTACATGGATTTCCATTTTTGGGAAAAAAAAAGTTTCAATGATTTCAATGCACTTATAGATCCTCCTACAACAAAGCATTAGGAGTCAGAGTGACTACTGATATAAAAAATAACATTTAGAAATGCAAATTGGATTAAAGAAAAAATACTTGTATTACATTTTTAGTTATTCTAATGTGATTTATATCTATTAAGAAGTAATTTTTATTTTTTCTCTCACTCTTATTAGCGTCTTGTTTTAGAATAGAATAGACCATAGCAATAAATGGGCCCCTCTGGTGTTTTTCTGCAGCTGTAAAGGCATCCCTGAAACTGTCAACCACATAAAAGTTCACTCCTGTGGGGGCAATGGGAGGCCCTCTATCTGCCAGAAATAAAAGCAGGGGCTTAGTAATAAAAAGTTCTTCTGCAAATTTCTGTATTTTAGGTTTGAAGCATTGTCTATTAATTTTAAAATACACGATTTTTATTGTTGACACCAAAGGGTTTTTTTTTTTTCCTTTTTAAAAAACACATGGCCCACATTTTAAGTTTCCACCTAATATGGGTATATATGTAATAATGTCACTTGAAATCTAACAACACAACGAATGAGTCCTTTTCTAGAGATGAAAGATATCAAAATTTATTCTTCATTTAGCATCTGAAAATAAAACTGAAATGGTTAATTTTTAGAATTATATTGTGAAAAAGAAATCTTCCATGGTTGAACCCAATTTATAAAAATTCACATTTTTATAAGGCTTACATTGAATACAACACTATTGTTTAGACTGAATTGCGTGTGTGTGGGTGTATGCATGGGGGCATTACTGGGAGGAACTGAGGACTGTGAAATGAACACTCTGTGGTAACCACTCACCATATTAAACTTTGGGAAAAATGTATACTATATGATAAAAGTAAATTAAGATCATTACTCTTCTGTCATAGATGACTTCCTGGATTTGAGAACAAGGTCTTTAATGGATGAAGAAAGTTCTTGAAGCTCTTTACGAGTAGTATTGGTGATATCTTCTTGTTCTTTGTCTAATTCATCACTCAAAGGATCATCTCCCTGGCCAGTCTTCTTATTTTGACTAACTAAATGCTTTACAACTAAACCTTGATACTTTACCAAAAGAGTATGCTGATCCTGTGAAAAGAGAAAGGAGAAGAAAAGTTAACAAACATTAATTTTCTGTGGAACAAGCATGATTTGTTCAACCAACACCCATCTTTATAAATCAGTTTAATGATCTTAAGTAGAAAACTGAATCAAGCAAGGTCCTTGCTGGCAAGTTGACAGGTTAGGGGCAATAAAACATGAATACAGATCATTTTAATGTAAACCAACTTGGCTAGGTTCTATCACCAGACATTTAGTCAAAGTTACATGGAAGTTCAAAGAAGCCCAATTACTTTTAGCTGAGAAGTTTCTCAGAAGAATCTGTGCAGGGTAAGACTTTTTGAACTGGTCCTTGAACAACAGGTTAAATTTACATAAGCTGAATTGGAAGACTGGACATTATTACATCTTTTTTGAAAGCTTAAATTTCCAAATTCAGAATATTTTTTTTTTATTATAGATCCTGTAGGATCCCAAAAGATTCTTGAGCTATGCTGAGTTTTTAAAATCAATCTTCTATCACTGTTCACATTCTTGAACGGGAAATCATATTAACATGTTTTGTGTCTTACTGTTTACGATTATTCAAACCTATCCATTCAAAATCTTCAGAATCTAAAAGCTTTAAAAGTTTCGAGTGCACTGACAAGATGATACCTCTGGAATTTTACTACTGAGAAAGGCGATGATCTGTGGGACACATCTTCCAGGTGCATGGAGCATGCTGTGGGTTGAGAACTGAAACAGAAGGACTGATGTGAGGTGCAGAATAAGAGCAGGGTCTTCTGTGACTTTTAGCTGTTCAGCCAGTGCTTGTCGATGCTGGAACAATATCTGCCTAAACAAAAATAAAATCACAAAACACATTATCATATTTTCACCAGCTCTCACCAATTTCACTTCTTCCCTTCTGTATTCATTTTTAGCTTCTCCAGTTTAGTTATCTAGCTCCATAAACATCTTAAGCGATATTTTAAATAGGAAATATAGACACACTTGACCCTAAATGGTATGGATAAACTAATATGCTAGAGAATGATACAGAAAACTAGATAGCAGGGATACTCAAGGTATACTTTTTATTTTAAGTTGTTGGGAATCAGACAGAAGTGCACTAATGCACATAAGCTTTCTATAGCAGGTCTCAAAGCCAACATAAAGTTCCCAGGCTTGATCTACTAGGGGATGAGGGAACCTTGCTACCCTATCAAAATGGGTCAGAGAGGGAGACCTATGTATTGAATACACTTAAAGGTATGCAGCCATTTGGATACAAGAGTTCTCTGTGCAAGATCCACATAGTCACCAACTTCAGACATGAAATATCACACATCTAAGAATCTGTTAATAATGTAGATTAATTGAATGTTGTTACCTTTCCCTTTTTTTGTCTCCCCTTTTCACCATAATATCACAAGCCTCTGCTGCAGAATCCAGACAAGAAAGAAAGTCTTCTATGCTCTGAAAAGGTATTCAATGCCATAATTTATTTTTAGTAACAGGTTTCCTAAAGAAATACAGTCATTTAATACTGTTCTATAATATTACACCCTAAATACAATTTTTAAAAAGGTCATTTTGTTATTAAACTTGACATTGTGATTTAGGACTAAAGAGGATAAAATGTCCCCAGCCTGTTCTCCCCCTTCACCTCCCAAAGAGATTTAGTTTACAATTATTCTTATAAAAATGTACTCAAAGGTCATAAATTCTAGCCCCATTATCTAAACAGAATCCAACTTTGCTTACCTTTTCATTCAGAGAGCTATGTAGTTTTGTGAGAGCTACTTTGGTTTCTTCTGATAATTTACTTAAAATTTTTTTTCTTACCTATAAGGGGAAAAAAATTCTTTTGGGATGGTGACTTTAACATGTGGTGGGTATAAGATCAAACAAAACAAAATAAAGTATATTTGTTGCTATAATAGAATACTGAATAGAATTTATCTTTGTTTTTGAGTTTTAGCTCTCAAAGTAGGGATAAAAACATGCCAAAAGCATTCTAATATCTGAAAGCTAGCTAACAACCAGTCAGCCAATGAAGCTAGATATAGCTCTGTTCCTCCCTTCTGGCCCAGCAATGTAAGAGGAAGATGGGGCAGGGGAGTGGCAGGGGGTGGGCGGAGGGAGGAGGGAGAGAGAACCATTTACCTTGTGGGTAAAAGAGAATTTGGGGCAAGGGGCTACTCCCTCTCTTTTTCATTGGGGTGGGAAGAATGTTCTTCCTAATGCCAAGTGAAGGGGGTCTCACTCTTGAATAAAGTTTAAGAATGCCTATAAACTAGAGAACTTGCTCTATGGATGGACAGTTGTTATGCTATCTGGTGTGTGGTCTTTTCAGCACCCCGTCCACACAGATGTGTCTCAAGAAATTTGGTGGCATTCTTGACCCATCTGATGGCCCTACCTAGTATGAAATTTCTGGTGGAGGCCTACTGGAATGGCTTGGCCAGTAGGCCCCGAAAGTTACAGTGAGTCTTGGAAGACTAGGGCAACCTACTGACTCCCCGTCACATGGCACACTAAATCCTTCCGTAGCCCCCAAAGGGCACAGGACAGGACCCCATGTATTTCTCACAGCAGAAGTTGGCACAGAGGCAGGATACATGAACTGCCCAAGCATCTGGAGATTCACTGTCAAGCTAAAGGAGGAAGAGGGACAGTACTTTGCTGGGATAGACAGAAATAACCTGTTTGGAAGTTTAGGGGGTGGTCCTTGCCATGAGAGGGAGTCACATGCTAAAAAACATCCCCCAAACAACCTATGCCATCTATGTGGCAATGGCCACATCACGAGAGACCACAGCATTGGACCTAGGTCATAATCAGTGATATGCAGTCATTCTTATGAGGCACTTTTTGCCTCTTTCATTTTTTCTAAATCTCAAACATTAAGTGGATCAGAGAAGAAGGACAGAGAAGAAGTAGAGGAGGAGAGTTAGGGACAGATCACACTTCCTTCTCTAGGCAACTAGGAGCCACTGCCCTACCTTACATTTCAAGAAGGGAAGAAATTAACTTTGAATTTAGTTTGAGATTAGAATTTTAACAAATAAATTACAATTTATTTAAATATTGAACAGAGATGGTGCCAGTAAGTGAAAATGACTGCAGAGTATGCAGTCAGGCCATAGCACTGTTAAGGGATTTGCAACTCAGCAGGAGAAAGGGATGTGACACCATAATAATTAGGAAAAAATAAAAGTGTTGATTCTAAAGTAATTAACCAACATTACTTTCAAAAGACCGGTTATATTACCAATTTGAACTAAAAATCTGATGGATGTTTTCCCTAAAAACCCTTTCTTATATTTTACTCTCCTTTAGACTATTCCTGGTGTGAGAAAATAAAGCATGCTTTTATTTCAAAACTAAACACATCAAGGATGGCAAACAAATCACTATCATACTTCATTTGTGATGGTTGCAGGATCGTCTACTGCCATCATTAAATCCGAAGCTAAGAAGTTGAAAATGAGGTTAGTGATATCAGTACATACTGTCTTCAGCAAATGCTTTGTAAGAGTAGCTTGCGTATCATCTGGAAAATAAAGGTGTTTTATTAAAATGAATGTCCAAGAACAATTATGAGAATCAATGAAAAAAAACAGCACCAAGTATACCTGTGAAGAACTTCACCCCCTTTTCAAAAAGCCGAATGTTATTATACAGGTTTGAAACCTCTTCTTGCAAGTCCTTGATAGTGCGCTTTCGACCAGTTCCAGAGGCAGAAGAAGTTGAAGACATGAACACTGAACGCACCACCTCGAGGTAAGTTTTATTAAGAGGTCTGTGCACAAGATAAATATATTTAGTTTATTAAAAAGTACTGGATTTATGCATCTAAGAAATTTTGCTTCTATGGAAATAGGCCTTAAGGGAAGACCTCTATATTTTTTAAACAAACAAGATTAATTTGGAGACTAGTTCCCAAGAATTTGTCCTCTAAGCCTAGGACTTATCACTTAAATGCATTTACTTTTCTCAGTCTTACAGTACTCAAAATTATTGCACTAAAGACAGTAAGAATAGCAGTAACAGAAGTTTCAATTCAAATTCAAATTAAAGTAGTTTTTAAAAGTTAATTTGGAGAATAGACTATAAATCTGTTTCCCATCCTTGGGAATAATAAATTCTCAATTTCTAAAGTACTATAAAAGATAACACATTAAAAACTTTATGCTCAACAACTCAGAATAGATTATTTTATTTTTATAAAAAAATTTTTTTAATGGTTATTTTTGAGAGAGAGACAGAATATGAGCAGGGGAGGGGCAGAGAGAAGGAGAGGAAGGCACAGAATCTGAAGCAGGTTCCAGGCTCTGAGCTGTCAGCACAGAGCCTGACATGGAGCTTGAACTCATGAACCACGAGTTCAACTCATGAGTTCATGAGTTGGACGCTCAAATGACTGAGCCACTCAGGCACCCCCAGAAAAGATTTTTTAAAAAGTAATGGTAAATGATTAGAAGTAACTACTCCATCTTTTTACATATGAAAAACATGATTATTTAATATATTCATGTACAAAAACATTCAGTGAAATGAAAAAATCTCACTACAAAAGCTATATTCTAAATTCAATGTTAGATGCACTGGGCTCCTGGACTGCATTTATAGCTTACACACTGGAACTACCTTGAGGGAAAATCACGTTAGTTAGTAATGGTCAAGTTATACACAATGTTTTTCACTTCCGTAAAATAAATTTAGCTTGGCTCAATTACAAGCTAGTGCTGTCTAAATTTATTCTCTTTGAAGACAGTTTGTTACTTTATTTCTCCCCTTTTTTAAAAGTGCACTGTTTACTCTCTGTCTAGTCCAGATAGAAAATGGTCTTTTCTTTCTTTTAGATGTTCCTTTTCACGCTATGTTAGAGAGCAGCCAGCTATTATGTTGGTGTTTTTCTCCCAACTAGTACTGTAACATCAGTGAATGAGGATGCCTCCACACTCTCGCCTTTTCTTTCCTATATTGCCTTCCCCAGAGCACTTACATGTTTGTTGAATTGAACAGCCTCTACAGGCAAACAAAATCTGCAATTTGGTGGCTAGATTAAATTCTAAGCTTTGAAAAGAAAAGACCTAGAGTATATGTTTTCTATGATGTTGGTAAAAATTTTATTTAAAACCTCTGAATTTCTATCATAAAACAGAAAAAAAAAATGTTTTAATACTTACTTTATTAAGTACTCGGCAAGTTCAGAAATAAACTCCTCAGGGGCATCTTGTACGTGTTTTCTTAAAAAATCTTCAATCTCATCCTGGAACATAAAAGTGATCTCTGGCTTCTTCTTTCCTATAGTAGAAATGAGCAATGTGAAAAACAACAAAACCATAAAGCAACCTAAAAGCAAATAAGGTTCAACATATTTAATAAGATGGTAATTCATTCACTTCATACCACAAAGACTCTGATACTGCCAATGTCAAATAGCAATAACCAATGAAAATAATTTTAAAAATAAGAGATAGTGGCATCTCTTTTGAGTAATAATTTCCTAACTTCATTTTGTGACTGTTTTGAGTCAATCAGAAAATCATAAAGATGTTTTCTCCCCAATCTAACTTGGATGGTACAAATAGTTGAAAATCAAGGAAAAAAATCTTTTAAGAAAAGATAACTTCGCTGTTGAACAATATATAATGAGCAGAATTTCTGTCTTTATAAAAATGAATAGGCACTAAAAATCAAATCATCCTTGTAAGTTACATAGGATCTTCAGGAAAAGTCTTTATAATCATGTGAACTACAACTCTGGTAGAATTAAGCTAAAAATTATCTTTGGGAAAGGCACAGATGAAAAGAATCCTTGTAATTTTACACTCATAATTTATTCTTCTTACAAAAATAATTCCATACCAAGGAAAGCTTGTATGCAGCTAGTGTAATGGAAATAATTGTTAACTGTGCATGCCTACTCACCGACTTGAAGAAGTACAGGTTGCAGACAAAAGAAAGCTAACAATATTTCCGTTATTAATTGTAAAAATATAAAAGTGATTATTTCCAGCTAAATTTGGTTATTGTAAAACCATAGAAATAAAAATAAAAAATAATGAAATAAATAAATAATAGCTCAAAAATCAATCTTCACTATGCATCAAGATCTAAGTAGCTAACGTTATAGCTTTAGAACAGATACACCCATTAGAAGAGATAGACTATTCTTTCTTTTTGTGATTTGCTATCCATTCCTGATCTTCCACATCAAATAGTTTCTGCTTTGTTTGCTTTCTGCATGCATGTTATAAGTTATTACATTATATTCCCATATAGTAATCTTTCACACTGAGTTGATGCTGTATTTTAGCTGAGAACCTGATTCCATCCCCCATTGCGAGATTATAACACAACCCTTTTTCAAAAGCACTGAAATTATATTTTTTTAGGTAGAATGGTTTTGCTACCTTTATAGCCCCTCTCTATAACCTGTGCACAAAAGAAGTAACACATGCCTCATTTAATAATTACTTAAGGCTACAGATAATAGAAAAATATTTTATTAAATATCCCTTCTCTCCCACCCCTAGTACATCTGGGGAATAGAGAAATTCATTTACTAATGAAAAATTAAAACCCACATAGGTCAGTCTTAATACTACTTAAAATAGGAACAGGGCTACTAGTTTCTATGAAGATAGGTTTTTTAAAAAGTTTTTTAAATGTTTATATTAGAGAGAGAGAGAGAGAGAGAGAGAGAGAGAGAAAATGAACACAAGTTGGGCAAGGGCAAAGAGAGAGACGGAGACAGAATCTGAAGCAGGCTCCAGGCTCTGAGCTGTGATCACAGAGCATGATGCGGGGCTTGAACCCACGAGCCATGAGATCATGACCTGAGCTGACGTCGGATGCTTAACCAACCGAGCCACCCAGGCGCTCCTCTATGAAGACAGTTTTAATTAATATTGTTTTATGCATGCTGAGAACAGTAGCTATTTTTATCTATCTTAGAATACTTTAAAGATAGATCTTAAGCAAATACATTATCACTAGTAGTGGCACACTAATAACTGAAGCCCATGTCAACTGATTTCTACGCCTCCTGGCTCTAGCCCATACAAAATGAGCTCTGTGGAAGAAGTAAAATAAAAATTTCAGACTATTATCATTTCAATGTTTTTTCTGTGTTTACTGGGGAAAAGGAAGAGGGAGGTATCACAGTTGCATTAAGTAAATTTATTTACAACACAAACATAGAAGAATCATAACTTTACTTAGAAAAACTAACATGTCTCTTGCTAACTTAACAATGCTGAATAAGAACAAGTCTTGGAAAAGGAAGATGCATATACTAATTCTCTTCCTTAAATAGAAGCAACCAATCACTTAAGTGTTACCATAAAACTTAAACATGCATAATATTAGTGTTTCCTACTTGAATATGCAGAAATCCACTTTTGTAAAATATTATAATTTGTTTTTCATGGCAGTGGGAAACCATAAAAGTGACTATGCAAGCCGCAACTGTGCAAGGTGTTCTTAATAAACAATGGGAAAATTTGATTGTTCTGTGACCCTTTAAAAAATGTTTGTGAAAACATTAGAAGTTCTGCTGGTTATGAATATAAAGGGAAATGAAAAAGAAAACTAATAATTTAGCATACTATAATTTAGCTCATTAGAAACCCTGAGCATGAAAGTGTTTGATTTCTTTGTAAAAAACTTATCAAAAATAATCTCAATGGTGCTTGCTTCTTCTCATCCTGTGACTTATATTCCAGAGCAAGCATTTTTCTGTGGCTTGGCAAGTTGTCATACTCCTTTTTTAACTCCGGATCAGCTTACGGCATTTTATCCTTTGCCCTTTCAATGTTGTGAAACATCTCGTGAGAATTCCTTTATTGGAGGTATTCTGCCAACCTCACCCCCTCTAAAACATTTTCATCCTTTTTGTCATGATCACTTTCCCCATTTACGTCAGTTAAGTGCGCTTCTACCAAGCTCCTCAGGCTGCATACTTGGTTCTTGAACAGGGCAATACCAACGTTCCCACAGTCAGCTTTTTCCCTAACTCCATTTATTCCTGATTCATATTTTATTTCCAATGTTATCACTTTTTATTTCTTTGCTGCATTTTTGTCTGTGTTGGCCGGTTCCCTTTTGATTATCCATTTTTTAAAATGTATGGATTCATCACTGGGAGACAAGGAAGCAACACAACTACGTGGGGTATTGTCTGAGCATAAAGTAAGGAAGAGAGGCACAGGGATCCATCACTGACAAACTCTGAAATCAGTGATGTGACTATCACAGCTCATGATGTACCTGGGTTATTTATGTGCTCATCTGTGGACTGAGGAGCCAGCAGCAAATTTGTACTTTATGCGATTACTCACAGCTGATACACGCTGGTAACTCAAAACATGAACCATGTTGTTGGGGGGCTGGTGATATCAACTAAACTGTGTAACTGAAATCTGTGTCCACAGAAACTATGCAAAGCGAGGACTTCTTGTATAAGCGTATACACGTAACAGTACGCATCGTAAGAAAATGTTTAAAATCATGCACAAAGGAAGAGTAATAAAGCTACATACCAGTATGAGATGACTCATCATCACTATCCTCTTCTTTTCTTCCTTTCTTCTTGATTTTTTTTATTTTGTACTCTCTGGCATTGCCACCACCACCTCCTCTCACACTTCCACTGCCCTCTGGTGGAAGAGGATACTCATTAGTCTTCCCTAACTGAATTACCATTTTTAGAATGATGACACTACATTGTCATATTTAACTTTACAGCAGAACAAGAAAAGCCAAGTAATTAACTTTTAGGTGCTACTTAAGGTTGGAGTTTCTTTATTACGAAGTTTTGTAATTCAGTCAATAAAAAATTAATAAAGTACGAAATCCGTTGAACTTGAGCAATTCAGAGAGCCTACCTGCTCTAAATACAGTCTCTCCTTCCTTCTCCAAAGACATCTTTTTCTGTAGCTTTGTCTGGCTTTTTCTTGACCAAACCCATTCCTTTACCTCTTCTTCTACCTTCCCCAAAAGAAATGTGCCCTCATTTGCTCATTTCTGTTACCACAGCCTCATTAATATCTCCATTACAGTATTTCACAAATTTAATTACCCTTGGTTTTGTCTTCTTGGTTGAAAGATTATTACTCATGTTTATAGGAGACATCCTGAGTCTTCCACCACTGAACGAGACAATGAACTCCTTCAGATAGGAAGCATGTCTCACTAATGTTTGTATCCTTGGGGTTAAAGCAATGCTTGACACATTAACAGGTGCTTGATAAATTTTGACCATGAATATTAAATTGGGTAAGTGGAAAAACAGAGTTATCCATCACCCATTGGCCAAATAAAGACTAAAAAATACAAATTATGAGACAAACCAAAACACTGTAAATAAAAGTAATCTTAGTGAGGTATTTCTCTACCATTACATATTTACGTTTGAAGTATTTATTCAACAAAATAGAATACTTTCTAATAATGGGATCGAAATACTGAAAAATATTTAAAATGTTTCTTCATAAAAGATTCATTTTTCAATAAAGTAAAATGACATATAAACTACAGATCTTTTTCTAAATCCTAAGTACAATTCCTTTAAATTTCATCAAGTCCTCTAATTGTAAGTTCTATTATTTTCCCTTGCTTTTGGGATAGAAAAATATAATTTTCGAAACACAAGTCTAAGGTGAATGTAATTTTTACATTTGGTAATAAATTTCTTATTAGGGAAGACTTATATATTTGACATTGTTCCATGCACTATACCTAAACCACTACAACAGGATAGTACTATCACTGAGATGAAGATCAGATAACTCTGAATTTTTAGAAGGAAATAAAACAGACTAGCTATTCTGACATAAGTACAATTAACTGATTAAGGTAAATTTATAAGTATATCTTCAAATAATGTGATAAAATATGCATGGCTGTGATACTACTATGATTTATGGGAGTAATTTACTTGTCTATTTCCCCCAGAAGAATACAGAGAAATTTCAAAGTATCAAATTGAAAGATTTTGCAGTAAAAGGTTTTTGAAAAGAAACAATCTCAAAGAAATAGAAGTGAGTTCTCACAAATAAAAATTGAAGTTTTTATAACACATCTTCATTATAGTTGGTATTTATTAATGAAACATGTTGAATATCTAATTTCATTAACCTTGATACAGTGCTAGTAAAATTATTTCTACTATATAAAGTATAGAAAATACATGTGCACCTAGAATAATTTCCATTGGCTTTTAATTAAAAAAAATGAAAGAAATAGTATCTCCTTGGGAAATTTATTCATTCAATATTTTATGAGCACCAAAAATACACCAACAAGTGTTCTAAAGACTAGGGAAACAACAATATATGAGATGGACACGGCTTCCAAACAATAAAACGCATTACAGTGATAAAAGTGATGCAAAAAAACCAGGAGATAATATGATGGAGAGTGACCATGTCCACTATTCCAGGTGGTTAGGGAGGCCTCTCTGAGGAACTGACATTTGAAGTGGAGTTCTGAATGATGAGAAATCAGTTCCCTGATTAGGGAGAGAACATTCAGGTGGAAGGAAGAGCTAGTGGTAACCACAAACTTGCCAAATTTTGAGATTCAAGAAAAAAAGGCTACCGGGGTAGAACATAAAGGGTGAGGGAGTGAACAATGGAAGATGGCCAGGTCATGAAAATCATTTAGTTCTGACAAAATAAGAAAGAGTAAGTAATCACTAATATTTCCATTTTCATCATTAGAATTTAATTCATTAGCAAAAGATTTGGTTAATATTAGCAGTTAAAGGTAAATCAACCAAATAAAAGAGCTTTCAAAGGGTCTAATAAATGCAGAGTTCACTGCAACTTGTAAAAAACTCATCTTTGAATCTTCTTGATTAATAATAATTTATTACCTGTTGCTTTTCTCCTTCGTTCATCTTTTTTATCCTTTTTACTTGTGTTAATGCTTTCTAAAATGGAGACTTGTTTCAGATCTTCTTCAGTGATTAAATGAACAGGATTATTTTTCATTTCCTGAAATAAAACATGCTTCTCTTGGTAAGCAAAAATATATGGTATTACCAAAAACATAAAAGTTATTTATATAGTCAATCATTATTACTCATCCTGATTATTCTTGTTTGATTTCATTGCTAAGAACTATAGAGCTCTGTCCAACAGCTGACACTCTGAGGTGGTCCCTCCTTGCCAAAGATCAGTCTCTTCCCTTGCAGTTCCTGGCTCTTTGAATGTGTCATCAGCTAATGAGAAATCCTATCTGGTCACTGAAGAATCGATCTCATAACATCAGATGCAATTTGGCTTGTTCAGCCGATTTGGCTTTTTAATTTTTATTTATTTAAAAAAAATTTTTTTGACATTTATTTATTTTTGAGAAACAGAGTGAGACAAAGCATTAGTGGGGGAGGGGCAGAGAGAGAAGGAGACACAGAATCCGAAGCAGTCCAGGCTATCAGCACAGAGCCTGATGCGGGGCTCAAACCCACAAACTGTGAGATCATGACCTGAGCTGAAGTGAGACGCTCAATCGACTGAGCTACGCAGGCACCCCGCTTTTTTATTTTTTTAACCAATGCTTCATAGGTGGCCCTTGCTCTTTTTTTTTTTTGAGGCTCCCAACTCCAATGCCACTTGGATACCTAAGTTTACTACAAAGATTAACAAAATCTACACTCCCAACCCTAACATAATGACCATGTATGAGTTGCACATTTAGTCATTTAAACTGTTTTTTCCTCTGGACTCATTCTTTACCTCTGCTTTTTTAAAAAATATGTTCAGAATAATGAACCATTTATTTCCAAGTTCAGAAACTGTTTTTCATTATTGGACAGGGCTCTAAATTTGTAGCGACAAAAGTACATTTATTTTCATGTGAAAAATGGTATTTCCCTTTTGGTTTCCTGAAGAAAAATGTTTAGGATGTTACAGTTCAAACAACAGAATCACCTTTTTTTCCTGAAGTTATTTTTGTAGTTGGAGGGAGGAGCAGGAAGAAAGAAAAATTGATGACCATGTTTTTATTTTAATAAAAGATCATAAATAATAATGTAGCCATCTAGCAACTGGTAGCTAATATACCAGAAATTTTGTATACATCCCTCCTTTATTTACATTTATCTTTAAGAAATGAACCACCATCATCCTTTTTTTTGAAGATATGGAAGTGGAAGGTCTATTTGTCCAAAGTCAAACAGAGAGTAAAGAAGTTGAGATTGGAATTCAGGTTTACTGTTGTCAATCCTATGTACTTTTACTCTTCAATACTGCTTTATTAGTGGGCAAGTCACAGAAAATTATCGTTTTTTTAAAACTACTGGGGTGCCTGGGTGGCTCAGTTGGTTAAGTGTCCGACTTCGGCTCAGGTTATGATCTCACGGTTTGTGAGTTCGAGCCCCAAGTTGGGCTCTGTGCTGACAGCTCAGAGCCTGCAGCCTGCTTCGGATTCTGTGTCTCCCTCTCTCTCTGCCCTCTCCCACTCATTCTCTCTCTCTCTCTCTCGCAAAAATAAATAAACATTAAAAAAAATTAAAACTATTAAAGAGCTTAAAAGGAATACAGATGAATACAAATTATTTATATATTTAATAAGCTCTCATGAATTTATTAACAGTCTAAGATAAATGGGCTTGTTCTACCTGTCCGTGAGCAGGCTTTATAAGTTGATGGTATTGCTAACTAGAAACATGACCTGAGGGGCGCCTGGGTGGCGCAGTCGGTTAAGCGTCTGGCTTCAGCCAGGTCACGATCTCGCGGTCCGTGAGTTCGAGCCCCGCGTCAGGCTCTGGGCTGATGGCTCGGAGCCTGGAGCCTGTTTCCGATTCTGTGTCTCCCTCTCTCTCTGCCCCTCCCCCATGCATGCTCTGTCTCTCTCTGTCCCAAAAATAAATAAACGTTGAAAAAAAAAAAAAAATTAAAAAAAAAAAAAAAAAGAAACACGACCTGAATATTCGTTAAAGCAGACCTGGCAGGACCTCTGCTTCTTGACAGCACTTGCTCTGAAGAACTAATCAATTTTGATAGCAACAATTTCTTTCCTCAGTAAGTTACCCCATTTGTGCATCCTGAATAGGTAAAATTAATAAGGCTCTGCTAGATTAAGTAAATATATAGTGTAGTGATTGATGGATACACTGTATACTTGTGCATTTAATCCACAGATAACGTTTTTGTGGATTTTAACGTTGGATCAATACCCTTAGGTGACTTAATTGTGAAGTGTATGATTTAGATGATTTCAATATATAAAATCAGCTCCCTAAGTTCCAACATACATGTCCTGATGGGAATGAAGAAGGGGAAAACAAATCGAGGAGAAGAGATAAAAAGGAGTAATACATTAAAGGGAAATGAACAGTGTTCATTCCTGGGTATATACTGCTTACCCCATTTTTCAGAAGATGTCAGATGAGTCTAATGTGAAAGTACCGTTAAGATTAGCAGGGGAAAGGAAATCTGGCATACCTTTTCAGCTTTTTGGTGCATCAGTTCACTGAACAGTTCTGTGCAGTTATTTATGAATTTTTCGCTGACTACAACAGTGTCGCTAAAGACTACAGCTGAAGCCTGCTTGCTGAATGCTCTCATCACCTGTTGAAGCAACATTGCAGCATCTTCGACTGATAAAGAACTGGGTAACAGAGGCTAGAATAAGAAAAAGAATGAAAACAAATATAAATATAATATCATACATATAAACCATTTGTTACATATATGCTCTCCCTAGGTGACTTCAAGTCCAGTGGCCTTAAGAACCATCTCTATGCTGATAACCTCCCAAATTATATTTCTGCTTTCATCATCCCTCTGAGCTCTGGAGGTCTATGTCCTACAACTTCCCTAACCTCTCCGCTCATAGGTCTAATAGGCATCTCAAATTTCACATATCCAGAACAACACTGATTGCAGCTGCCACCCCTAGACTCCCAGCTCCTATCCACCTTTCTCCATCATCTCCCCCTCTCAATTAATGGTACTGTTCTCCACTCAGGTGATCAGGCCCCAAACTTTCATGTCACACTCAGTTCCTCTCATAAACCCGCAAACAATTCACCATCAAGTCCTGATACCTTTACCTCCAAAACAGGTTTCTTCTTAGCTCTTTGATGGTCTAAAATTATCATTTTCATTAACTATCTCCCTCTAGGAAACTTTTCTGGACACCACATTCCCAGCAGGTAAAATGGTTTCTGGTACATATATAGTACTTACTAAAATCTTTTGAATGAATAAACAAACACTTATATCTGGAATCTTTGGAAACTTGTATATTCAAAACAAGGAATTTTCTGCTTTATAAAGAGAATCTGGGCGCTGACGAGTAAATAATGGATTGGCCTTATTTCTTTCTCTTCACCCACTCTTATCTTTTCGGCATAATAAAGGCAGGTCAATACTAAACACTGAAGTAAAACAGTATCAGGGCTAAAGCAGCTCATGTTAATACATGAGCAAAGGCTAATGAATGGATAAAGGATACAACAAATGCTACATTAATGCCTGATGCCAGTAAAGCTGTAAATGCTTAGATAAGACTGTCAGAAATCTCAACAATTTCTGTATGGCAAGACTGATATGAGTGTCATATTGTTTGCTTGTTTGTTTTGAGATTTATGGAATTCTGGATGTTGTCTATCCATATATAAAAGGTCATTCTACCTCAAAAGCTATAAAGTCTTTAAGCAAGATTGAGGTAGTTTTTGCTATAACAATGATTGCTAGAATTTGGCTATAAAGCCAAGACTACTTTTATGTATCCTAATACTTAAAATGGCCACATACTAGTGAATATCAGTTGTCCCTGGTTTAAAGAAAAATTAACAAGAAAATGATAAAACGTACTGCAATATCAACCCATGTTCCAGAGCTGATGGCTTCCTCTACTGATGCTTCCACTTGATCTACAAGTCCTTGACCAACACAAGCTGCTTTCAAAAACAAGAGTTGTGTAGTCTTGTATCTTTTCTTTATGTAGCTCACAGCATCTGGGATTCCAAGTCTGGACAAAGCATCAAATTCTAGATATAAATCACAAATAGAATTAGAAAAGAATTCGTTGGAATATAACTGTCATTCACACCTTTTAGAAATCTTAGAACGAATTAAGTTCTTCCAACACCTATTCTTTGTGAATGCACTATATTCTATTTTTCTTTTTTTTAAAGAATAAAGCATAGAAATGTACCACAGCCTATTCCCTGGTTAGGCTACCTTCCCAAATTTTTATTACTAAACGTATCTGTAGAAAAATTCGTTCAAATACTTCCTCCATCCCAGCTATGTCACTCCCTCTCCAACTGAGGGGTCAAAAGGAAACATGAGAACTACAGAGCAATAAAGTAGAAATGGGGCTTAAGAGAAATGTAATAATTTAAGTTAAGAAACAAAAAAGCAATTTATTTTGCTTATTATAGTAACTAAAGGAATCAGACAATTTAGGACAAAGTAATTCTCTATTCTAAACTAGTAAGGGATTTAGCATATAAAACAAAAGTTAAAAAAAAACAAAACTTCAGTTTACAGCCATTAAAGTTATTGGAGATAGCTACTGTTCTCTTTATCCCCAAATAATCATATTTCAGTAAATTAATTATAACGAAGTTCTAACCCAAGTTCATAGTTGAAGAAACAAAAGTACATTACAGAAAGCCAAGAAAACATAAGTGCAGCCTAGTATTCTAGCATACATTTAAATCGCTTGAACATTAATGTCTTATAGGTTTATCACTGAGAAAGGAACTGAACTCTTACATGATTTGAGTTGGACTATGTAACTGATCAAACTGAGCAACATCTATCTATATATAAGTGAGCTACATATTTGTGTATGTGTGTGTGTGTATGAGTGTGTGTAATATGTATGTGTATATATATTTGCTAACTGTTTTAATGACTAAATTCAATCTACTTTACCCAAATGACAGAACCCTAGAAACAGAATTAAGAATAATTTCAGGTTTTCTGAAGGAGTGGATGTCTAATAAAAATGAACACTGTAAAGTTGACAGCCAATAAGCCAAGCTGATAGCCAAGATTATGTAATTAAACAACTGGGTAACTTCATAAAATATACTTGAAGGTGTAACAGTATTATATCACTGGAACATTGGGAGCAATCAATACAAGCTTTTGGCCTTTCTATGTTATAACTGTTCAATAACTATGAAATTAAACTCAATTCCAAAATCAACAAAAACCTGCGTGTGACTACTTTTATATTCAAAGAAAAACTTTATAATTTGCTGGAAACAGTAAAGTGTGTACTCCCAGGACTAATACAATACTAAGAATGTGTGTAGTATTAGTTTTAGTTTCAAAGGAAAAAAGAAACAGTTACCTAGATAGCCATTCTGCCTGAAAAAGGAATCCACCCAAGTACTCTGTGTTCTGGAGTAAATGTCAGGAACAAACACCGCCTTATCCTGTCTCCCACCAACCACAGTACCTCGTAAACGTCCACTATTAACAAGTTCCTCAAGCACAGCTTAACAAAACCAAACAAATAGAAATAAATCAGAGCAGGTATAAATGTCAAAAAGTAAAATACTATTTCACAAGTTAGTTACTCTTACCTTAAAAAAAAGCAACTTAAAGTTTAATTTGCATAAATGAAGACATTATATTTTAAACAAAACTTTCCTGTCATTTATAAGAATATACTGAGGTCATAAATTCAGGACATTCTGGCAGCTAGCTAAAGGTGCTGAACTTGAACTAGTTAATACTAACGTTGAATTTTTTAGTTAGAGTAATTTTGGGGAAAAATCATGCTATTATTTTTCTTATGATATGTTTGAGAGTGGATGACTAAATGCTTTGAGAATAATTAATATGCAAACACTGGTGTTACTAAGTTTAATTTTCTCATATTTAGAAAACTCAGGATACATGGATCACATTAGAATAAACTCTGTGAAATAAAGTCATGACAATTTTTATAAATTATTACATTTCGACTGTTTAAATTGAAGCAACACCTGTAGAAGTATAATGCCATGGTTAAGAGGATCAATCTGGATCTAAACACCCTAAGTCTAAACCTCAACTCTGTCACTTACTGACAAAAACCATGCAAGTCATTTAGTTATGCCTCAATTTTCTCAGCCATGAAACAGGGATATAATAACAGGCTCATGGAGTTATTGTATTCAAATTAAGTGTTTAGAACAGTAGCTGGCATATAATAACTACTCAGTAAATGTCAACTAAGTATCATCACAAACACCACTGTCATCAATCATCATCATCATCAAAGGACTGATGCCAGTCTGAGAACTGGATAGCACTGCCATTAACATAAAATAGATGCTTTTTATTTAAACGAGAATATTTAACTAAACATGTTGTTAAAATACCAAAATCCCCTGAAAAAAACAAGCAGATAAGGAGTTACTTCTAAGTGAATCAGCAAGCACAGTCAAAAGATGTCTGGCAAAGAAATGTTTATGAAAATTAGCCTTTCCCAGAAATAAAAATTAGTTTACGTATGAATTTCAGGACTGCAATGCTGAGTAAATTAGGGTACATTAGAAAAGTAGATTTTTTCAACAGACTGCACACATAATTTTAAATTCTGTGACTATACAACACAAATGTGTGTTAAAGACCAAAGTCAGCAAGTTATCAATTATTATTTGAAGAACTATACATGATAATGAAACCCCACCAATCTCCAATTAGTAGATTCCAATATATGTTACATTTTAAATTTCTCTGAAAATATTTAACTCCATATGCTGAAAAATATAGTGAATGAAAATTATGTTTTGGTTTTATACATGAATTTCTTTTCCATTCTTCATTTTAATTCTTCTATTTGCACAGATACCTGAGCTGAAAGATTATGTCATTGTTTTTAAAAATTATTCCAGCAAAGCTTTAAAAACACCCCTTCTGATAAGAGCTTCACAAACACACACATAATACAGGTAATGAACCAAGACTATTTTTTTTTTTTTTTTTTAACGTTTATTTATTTTTTTGGGACAGAGAGAGACAGAGCATGAACGGGGGAGGGGCAGAGAGAGAGGGAGACACAGAATCGGAAACAGGCTCCAGGCTCTGAGCCATCAGCCCAGAGCCTGACGCGGGGCTCGAACTCACGGACCGCGAGATCGTGACCTGGCTGAAGTCGGGCGCTTAACCGCCTGCGCCACCCAGGCGCCCCGAACCAAGACTATTTTGGAGATATTACAATGCTGTCTGAATGCTAAAAATATATTTTTATTGGTATTATTATCTTTGTAAAAATTTTTTACTTTTTATTTTAAAAATCATTCATTCATTCATTCATTCATTCATTCATTCATTTTTTGGTAAGTTCTATGCCCAATGTGGGGCTTGAACTCATGACCCTGAGATCAAGAGTCACATGTTCTAATGACTAAGGCAGCCTGGCACCTCTATAAAAACTTTTTAGACAAATATTATTTACTTTCATGTTAGAAAATATAGTAAAAATCTGTAAGAAACAAAGTGAAAATTATTCTTAATCCTACAATTTTAAATCTCTATGAATGTATATGTGTAGCAGTATTCTACACACACACACACACACACTTTTTTTTTTCATTTCACTCCTCTGGAGGTAAGCCAACACTAAATGTTTGATGGATATAACAGATAGATATGTACATGAAAATTGGTATATTTCAACTAGAAATATTTCAGTTATGTAAGTTTTAACATTAGTGGAAGTAAAAATATGAAAAATTAGTAAGTTTTACAATAATAGTCTAATAAGCAGCTAATTAAGTGACATATAATTTAAAGTAAACTCACAGTAAAGCAGCTGCTCTTGAAATCCGTATTTTGAAATGAGAGAATTCACTGCTGTAGGCCTTTACGAAAAGAAAGAAAAAGAACTTCTTACTCATTATGCAGTTACACATATTTATGAATTAAAAAAATAACTAGGATAACGAGTTTATGAATAACACCAATTAATATAAATTTTTTTAATGTTTATTTATTTTTGAGACAGAGAGACAGAGGATGAGCAGGGGAGAGGCAGAGAGAGAGGGAGACAGAATCCCAAGCAGGCTTCAGTTTCCAAGCTGTCAGCACCGAGCCTGACGCAGGACTTGAACTCATGAACCATGAAATCATGACCTAAGCTGAAGTCAGACGCTTAGCCAACTGAGCCACCCAGGCACCCCAAACACCAATTAATGTGAAAGACAAAAATAACACCACATTTTACATCCTTAATCAGAATTACACTACTGAAGTTCCAGGGGGAACTGATCTGTCTCCACAATTCAGGATCAATTTACTTTCTTACCAACTTTCCACCTCTGATTTAGTGATACTTAATCTGCCTTTACTTTGTTTTCTTCATTCTATTCTTTCTCTCTGGGAGGCTCTTTCCCCACCTGGGAATAGTCAAGTGAATGTTACAAGATTCTGCTTTTGAAGAAAAATGAAATCTTGTATGTAATGAAATACTCCTAGATTAGGTGGATGACTAGGAGGGATCCACTTAAAATGTTCCTTTTTGCTTATGACTATTTTCTATAATGACTACATATGTCTTTTTAAAGAAAAAAAACATTTAATGAGGTATAATTTACGTATCATAAATCCCATCAATTTTACACAATTAAGTCATTTTAATAAATTTATAAAGTTGAGGAACAATCACTAATAGTTCTCGAGTCTTAAAATGTTTCCATCACCCAAAAAGTTTCATTATAGATATCTGTAGTTAATTCCTGCTTTCACTCCTAGTCTTAGAGAAACTGATCTGCTTTTGGCCTCTATAAATTTGCCTTTGTAGAAATTTCACATAGATGGAATCTATATGTGGTCTTTCTTTCACTGAGCATGGTTTTGAGGTTTGTACATTATGGGGCATGAATCAGTATTCATTCCTTTTTAATGATGAATAGCATTCCACTGTATGGAGATACCACATTTTGTTTATCCATCCATCAGTTGATGGACATTTGGATTATTTCCAGTTTGGGGCTATTATGAATAATGCCACTATGAACATTTGTGTTCATGTCTTTGTGTGGACATATCTCTTCGTTTCTTTTGGGTAGATCCCTGTGAGTCCTTTTCTTTTATAGTAATTATCTTTTAAATAAGGGAAAATATAAAGAAAATGACCTAGACTTTCTTTTTCTGACTTTATATATTTTCCCTGTTTAAGTCAATTATGCCTGTGTTCTGGTTTGGGTTTAGTCTATGTTTTTATTTTTATGCATATAATTAAGAGACTTTTAAGTTATTCCAAGTAACTCAATCATCTATTGTTGATTATTCAAGATGTTATAAATTTTCTCTATGACAAACTGGGAGAGCAAAAACATTTGTCTGAATATTGAATTGATATTTAAAACCCCTATGTTTGGGAATTTTTGACTAAATCATTATTTTTACCAAATTCTTATGTAGGTTAATTTGTTTTTCATTAAATTGCTTTACCCTACTTTTTCAGCTAAATTATCTAGAATCCCTAAACCAATTAGGTCCATTTAGGTGCTCAGTGAAGTTTGCTCTCCTCTGTTTATAATCATTACAACTTTCTCATGTTTTGTTTTTTTGTGTGTCTTCTGTTCCCTTCCACCTGAACACATCCCTACAAAAATGTAGAGGGCTCCTGGAAGGACTTTATCTTAAAATTTCTGGGCTCATAACATATTGTGGGTGTTCAGTAAATGTTTAATCGAATTTCACATAATTGCTAGCTTTTTTTTGTACACTAAAACTTAGCTGTTGAATTTCTATTTCAATTTAGAATACAATGTAGTTTGGTATACCTACATATCTTGCTCTTATAATTATTTCCTACTCTTCTTTCTGGCTACCTATAACAACAACAAAAACCTTTTTTAAATCAGAGATGGAGGTGTTTTCTCTGAAGTTAGACCAGGAAAGTGGGGTAGTTCCTTATATTTGAGAGACAAATATGACAATATGGTACCTTAAGTGGAACTATCTGGAAGCCACAGAGCCTAGCAACATCTTTTAAGGCTCAGAATTTATTTTTCTCTCATGGTTTGATAATGCCTCTACACAGAGAAACTCAGGGCTAGTATGAGTCAGAAAAAATATTATTTGCTGAACCTGATGATAACTACACTCACCACAATACTTAGCCAAAGAAAAAAGATAAATGTTTGTCAATAAGAAAATATGATTTTAGTATTTTTAAAAATGTTTAGTTATTTATTTGAGAGAGAAAGAGAGCATGCACATGCACACAAGCAGGGGAGGGCAGAGAGAGAGAGAGAGAGAGAGAGAGAGAGGGAGAGAGAGAGAGAGAGAGAGAGAGAGGGAGAGAGAGAGGGAGAGAGGGAGAGAGAGAGGGAGAGAGGGAGAGAGAGAGAGAGCGCATCCCAAGGAGGCTCTGTGTTGTCAGCATACCCCCCTCCCCCAGCGTGGGTCTTGATCTCACAAATCACAAGGTCATGACCCTGAGGTGAAATCAAAAGTCAGACACTTAACCAACTGAGCTACCCAGGTGTCCCTATATTTTTAATTTTTTAATTTTCTGACCAAGTAATATATATAAAGAGCACAAAAGTTACAAAACTGAAGCCCCCTCCATTTTTATCACTCAGCTACCCAGTTCTTTTCCCAGAAACAACTACTGTTACCAGTTTCTTGTGTTAGGAGGGTGATTTGGTGCAAGCTGTCATAGCCTGTATGGAGAAAGGAGAGCATCCACATAAGGAAGAGAGGTGTAGCAGCAGTGGGAGCTCAATCACATAAAGGGGAATTAATTAAATAAGTAAACATATCTGACCCTTGAACAACGTGGATTTGATCTGCCTGGGTCCATCTTATACATGATTTTATATATACACACACACACATATATATGACAGTACTATAAGTGTATTTTCTCTTATGATTTTCTTAATATTTTGTTTTCTCTAGCTTACTTCACCATAAGAATATGGTATATAATACATAAAACATACAAAAGATGCATTACTCAACTATTTGTCATTGCATTGGTACGGTTTCTGGTAAACAGTAGGCTGTTAATAGTTAAGTTTTTTGGGGGGGGTCAAAAGTTATTTGCAGATTTTCAACTGCAATGTGGGTGGGGGGTAGATGCCTGCATTGTTCAAGGATCGACTGTATATTAAGAATAATGGGAGCAACATTTCTCATGGTCAAAGAAGGGAGTTGCAAATATGGAAAAGGAGACAACTAGAACAAAACTAATGGAGGTTTGGAAGGGAACTGGGAATATCAGTGTGAACTCATGGTTTTTGATAAACATATAGATATAGAGAGGGGTGTATACACATGTGCATGTGCATCCCTTAACTTGTCTGCTGAGAGGGCTTGGGAGCAGTGACAAACAAACAGCAATAAGCAATTTAGTGTCCAGATCTTGGTCTGTAAATAGTACACTAAAAAGACCTAGGGTTCTTTGGGGAAATGGCTGATTCCAGGGATGGGACAAGGAAAATATGAACTGAGCCTTTCTGTTGTACCAGAAAGAAATGCTCCAAGAATGATGGAGACATATTAAAGAACACAGAGTACAGCCTGAAGCATGGGCCAATAGCTAAATCAGAGCCCATTAAAAAATATCTAAGTAATGATAATTATAAATTTTAATCCAATGAATAAAACAGGGAGCCAGGAGTCCATAGTGATTTATAGAAGTAAATAAACTGAAAGTCTGATAAAAAAGAGGATCACATTGGGGCGCCTGGGTGGCGCAGTCGGTTAAGCATCCGACTTCAGCCAGGTCACGATCTCGCGGTCCGTGAGTTCGAGCCCCGCGTCGGGCTCTGGGCTGATGGCTCAGAGCCTGGAGCCTGTTTCCGATTCTGTGTCTCCCTCTCTCTCTGCCCCTCCCCCGTTCATGCTCTGTCTCTCTCTGTCCCAAAAATAAATAAACGTTGAAAAAAAAAAAAAAAAAAGAGGATCACTTACCTGATCTCAAACTGCCCTCCCCAAAAATACTTAATTATAAGGGAAAAACAAGTATTTTTATGAAAAGTCTAACAGATATCTGCTTATTAAGTTATAATGTACATCATCAGTAACTACAAAATCTATACTGTTTACCACCTGATAGGATTCAATGACAAGAACACACAATTACTTCAGTTATACTCCTGTCAAAGATGCATAACCTGAATATCAGAATGAAAAAATAGCAAACAAAACTGAACATTTTACAAAATAAGTGGCCTGTGGTCTTCAAATTGTCAAGGTCACCAAAGTAAAAAAAAGGACCAAGTAAGTGTTCCAGATTGAAGGTGACTAAGGAGACATGACAATCAAATGCAATGTGTGATTCTGAACTGGATCCTTCACTATAAAGGATATTATTGAAAAACTGGTAAAACATGAATGAGATCCAAGGAGTGGATGGTAGTAATGTACCAATGTCAATATTTTGATGTTTGTATTACAGTTATGCGATTGTACAGGACAATGCCCTTATTTTAGGACACACAGACTAGAGTATTTGTGGTGTTGGGACACTCTGTCAGGAACTTCCTGTCAAACAGGACAGAAAAAAAAGGTTCTCTTGTAATTTTTCTGTAATTGTGAGATGATTAAAAAAAAAAATGGTTGCATTAAATTGCAAGCTCTGTCCTCTAACCTAGTCTTTTGTACCAGTGCCTTAAATGTATTAAGTACTCAAAAAATGCTGTGATTTGCTGAATGACAAAAATAAATCACTGTGACTGCCATGTAAAAAAAAATGTGCTGGAAGGTAATGAGAGAAGAAGGGAGACTGATTAGAAAGCTACTAAAATAGTCCAGTTAAAAAAATGGACTAAAGTGGGGGGAATGGTCATAGATAGGGAAAGTATATAAATATTTAGAATACAGAATTCAAAAGCCTTTGTGTTCTGAAAAAGGGGGCGATGAACAAAGGATGATATAAAGGAGGACTCCCAGGTTTGTGGCAAAACCAACTGATAATAACATTTACTAGTAAAATGGAAACAAAAGTGGAAGAATAAATTCAGGTGGTGTGGGGTGGGGTAGCTCAGTGATAGTGAGTTATTTTAAATATGCTGAATTAGAGGGACTTCTAAAATATTTCAATACAGATGTGGGGTGGGTAATAGAAGTCTGAAATTTAAAAGAAAGGTAGGGCACCTGGGTGGCTCAGTAGGTTAAGCATCCAACTCTTGATTTTGACTCAGGTCATGATCTCATGGCTAGTGAGTTCAAGCCCAATGCTACTCTGATAGTGCGGAGCCTGCTTGGGATTCTGTCTCTCCCTTTCTCTTGCCCCTCCCACACACACACTCTCCCTCCCTCTCTCTCTCTCTCTCTCTCTCTCTCTCTCAAAATAAATAAATAACTTAAAAACAGAAAGGTAAAGTCACCTAGGAAGACAGTGATGGACTAAGAAGAAAACATGGCCTGAAACAAAACTTTAAAGGGTAGAGATAGGAGAAAGAGACAGAAAAACGTGCCATATAAGGCACAACCAAAGGAGTAAGAAGAAAGCAGTAAAGTGCAGTATTAAAACAACAACAACAAAAGGAATGGCAACATTTCAAGAAAGAAAGAAGGAAGAGGTAACTGGAATTAAATGGTGCTGCAAAGTCAAGTAAAACAAGGGCAGAAAGTATCCACTAGAGTTCATGACATTGACATTATTGCTTTGTAAGTTGGTAGAAGCCAGATGGATGAGTTGAGAAGTGACAGAGGTAAGAAAATCGAGATAGTAAATGTAGACATCAACTCTTGAGAAGGTTCACTTTATGGAAACAAACAAAACAAGATGGTAGATGAAGTAGAATATGGGGTTGAGAGAGGTTTGACTGTTTTAAAATGGGAGAAATCTGGACATATTTAAATACTGATGGGATCCAAAAACCACTGAGATACAGTTAATGACACAGGAGAGAGGAGATAATTAAGAATGTAGGTTTTCTTAATTCTGTATTAGAGTGTCACTCAGGCTCCAAACATTTCAGAAATTCTCACTTTAGAAAAGTTAAAGTGATTTTGAAATTAACACTGTTATTCATTTGAGCTGTAGAATGTTAAATATTTAGTAAAAAGGGTTCTAAAATCATCTAGCCCCATCTGAGGCTCGAAGGACTTACTTATGTGACTGACTTATCTGCTGCAGCTCACATGGTTATTATGCAATAGAATGAGGACTTCTTACTTTAAACTGCAAGCTCTTTCCGTATCCCAGGATGACTCTATATACTGATTTGGGTATTCTGCAGACCTGCATCTGGGGTCATGAGGATGATTAAGGTAGGGAGTGGGAGGAGATGTGGGTTGAAGAGAGTTTGGCTACATTCTGGGGCTTTGGAATCTTCATTCCCAGAAGCTACCTACCCTTCTATATGTCTAAAATCCTAGAGTCCTGAATGAAATTTTAATTAAAAAAAAAAAAAAAAAAAAAAAAGCAAAAGCAAAAAGAAAAGAAAAAATACCTGATAGAACAGAAAAAGCAAACCATGATCAATGAAATATAAAAATATACATAATTTATTATTATTATTATTTACTTTGAAAGAGAGAACACGAGCAGGGAAGGGGCAGAGAGAGAGAGAGAGAGAGAGAGAGAGAGAGAGAGAGAGAGAGAATCCAAAGCAGGTTCCATGCTGTCAGCACAGAGCCCACCGTGGGGCTCAAACTCATGAACCATGAGATCATGATCTGAGCTGAAGTCAAAACTTGGATGCTTAAACCAACTAAGCCACCCAGGTGCCCCAAAATACACATACTTTAAAACAGGCTTACCGGGTAATAGCACTGAACAGTCCACGGATGCGTGCTTTATGTCGAGCTACAAAAGCTTCAGTAAATATTACTCCTCTGTTATCAAGATCAATGTGTCCATTAATAATTCTACCTAGTCGCTGCGTTAGTGCCTGAGGGTAAAATGTGAATTTTTATTAATTTGAAAGAACAAAATTCTAAATATACATTTGTATAGCCTTATTAAAGGTACAATGCATGCTGTTGTTGTATTAACCACATGGTTGAGAAATTTCAACAAGCACAAATTTATAGGATGTATAAGCTAAAATGAAGATTTAGGATCTAGGAAACTTCAAAATCTCACAGCAGGGCAAAGAACCGAATGAGTCAAATAGATATGTTAAAAGGCTTAGCTACATGGTAAGAAGGGCTTTTTCTAATGTAAAATAAAATTGAATGATTAACCAATTTTTCTAGATATAGGCAGCATGAAACATAGACAGTAAGACATATACATGGGTCTTGAAGACTCTATCTGGAGCTGAGTAAAATAAATGAGTATTCACTGAGTAAAATAAATGTTATTCCAAGATTCTGAAACCTAGGGAAACGTAATAACTAAAAAGTTACCTTCTCTGACGCAATTATCAATAAGTTACTTGTGCCCAGAGATCTATACTAGCAGACATGATTTCCTGGTAACCCCAAGAGAGTATTTCTCCATAGCTACATTATGACTGGGGTCAGGTACATCTGAAATAAGTCTGGACATATTTCACATCCCAAGATAAGTTAAAACTACTCAAGGCAGCCTGGCTGATAGTTTTCTGGTATAAAAAAATGCATTTCAAACCATTTCTTAGTGACTTTTTAGAATACTGCCTGTAATATTCAGAAAAACTAGAACTGAAAAATGTTAAGAAACCATATGTATTTCCAAAATGTGTCAACAGCACAGTTTTATATGAAATCATTTGGGGCTGTTCTGATATCTTTAAACAGTGTTCTAAAAATTTATTTTTTGACTTTCTGTGATCAACATATATTTGCTCACTTAAAATAGAACTTAGGCTCCTGATATGCTCTGTAAAACAGATCTGTATTCAAATTGTATTTTAGATGCAATTATAGGAAGTCACTCTCTTAAAATGGGTTAGTAAATCTGTTTGTATTATAAATTAATCTCATGCAATTATGGTTTGGTAAATTTTTGTAAGTTGGATTTTCTTAAAGAGATATATACCTAAAAAGAGATTTGGCTTTTCCCTTATTTATTCCAGTAAATACAAAACAAAACCATCACTTATTGAGTACCTCCATTGTGCCAGACATCTCACTGATACACCATATATATAACCTTATTGAAGTCTATGAAAAAGACAATTATTCCCATTTTAAAGATACGGAAATTCAAATACAAAAGAGGTGAAATAATTTTCCTAACATTGAGTAACTAAACAGCGGCATAAGCAGAATAAAATCAAAGTCTGTTTAACTCCAAAGCACATGCACTTTCCAGTATACAAAATAAATGTCTATAATTCTAAAATGGCAAAGTATTTTAAGAATAAAGAAATAATCATTTCTAAATGGTCTGTCTCATCAGAGCCATCAATGTATTGGAAGCATCCCCAAAATATACAACTACATCAATAAACACTTGCAAAAAGTTAATGGTATGAAAGTCTAGTTTTTTTCTTCCAATTAAAATTCTTTATTTATCTGAAAAGACACTAAGCTATTAAGAAAAAGTACCTGTGTCAGAAAGTTTCCAGGAAGATCATAGGTCTTACATAGTTCTGATATGGTGACCTGACCACTTTCTTGCAATTTATCATTTACCTCTTCTGCTAACCGATCCAAATAGTTGCTAATAGTTAAAGAAAAAAAATTACAATTATTTTCCTTTTTTATATGCAATAAGGTATGCTCACAAAATAATGAATAGGGTATGTTTAGGTAAACATAAGTCATTATTCATATTCTGAAAATTATTTTTCTTATCAATGTAATTAATGTAAGGTTAACCAAATGATAAATGCTGGGATTTTTTTAACTATGTAAATTCTGCATTTTTCATTAACATTTTTGGAACAAATTTGCTTTCGGAATTAAGATCATAGAGGAAAGACTGTAAGAATTACGTTTATGCTGCTTTAATAGAAAAAAAATCAAAGTTTTTATTATTCCCAAGTACTCCATACAATTAAGCACTTACTTTTTTTTCTTTGAGAAAGAGAAAGAAAGTGAGTGGGAGAGGGATAGAGGGAGAGGCAGGGAGAGAATCTTAAGCAGGTTCCATGCTCAGCATGGAGCTGAGGCAAGGCTCAAATTCATGACCTTGATATTGTGACCTGAGCCAAAAATGAAGAGTGGGACGCTTAACCGACTGAGCCACCCTGGTGCCCCAAGCACTTACAATTTAAATATAATGATCCTAAAAATGAAAATCAGCACTTGAGTTCTAAATAAAATGCCAAACTGGTCACAATTGTTCTAAATTTAAACACTATGGAAAAAAAAAAAGAAACACAAAAAAGTGCTCCTGAATATTGTACTTACTCATCTATCAGTTGTCCCAGAACTAGCTGAACATGCTTTTCTGATTTTACAATGTCACCAATTCTACTTTCAATATGAGTCAGATCCACATTAATTACCTGGAAAAAAAATAAAATTCTATTAGTGATAAGTTCATATTGTTTCTTAAGTTTGAAACTATATATTAGAACATTTTTTTCTATGACTTTTATTTTTATTTTTTTAGTTTATTTATTTTAAGAGATAGTGTGAGGGGTGAGGGGGATAGGGGCAAAGAGAGGGAGAGAGAGAATTCCAAGCAGGCTCTGCACTGTCTGCACAGAGCCTGACGTGGGGCTCGAACCCATGATTGGTGAGGTCATGACCTGAGCTGAAACCAAGAATCGACAGAGCCACCCAGGTGCCCCAACCTATCTTTTTAAAAACTTACTTTCTATTAGATGAATTTCAAATTAATTTGAAATACTGTCAAAAGTCTCAGTCAAATAAAAATTAGAGGTTTATTGCTTATTTACTTTCATTTCTGAACAACTACATTTTCACTTGTTAGCAAAGTTTGCATTAAGAAACTGTATTTTCGGGGCGCCTGGGTGGCGCAGTCGGTTAAGCGTCCGACTTCAGCCAGGTCACGATCTCGCGGTCCGTGAGTTCGAGCCCCGCGTCAGGCTCTGGGCTGATGGCTCGGAGCCTGGAGCCTGCTTCTGATTCTGTGTCTCCCTCTCTCTCTGCCCCTCCCCTGTTCATGCTCTGTCTCTCTCTGTCCCAAAAATAAAGTAAAAAACGTTGAAAAAAAATTTAAAAAAAAAAAAAAAAAAAAAGAAACTGTATTGTCATACAATAGGCAGGATTTGCACAAGATTTTCCAGCTTCTTGGATATAGTGTAACTTGTTGATGACACGTGCTCTTATATTTTATAAAAATATCTTCTTCTTTTTAAAATATTTCTTTACTCCTTCCATATACTAAAGTAAACATGAACATTATTTTTCTCCCTAAATACTTAAACCCTGTTACAATGAAAAATCATAACTATGAGTTTACTTGGTAAAGAATAAGCAAATAACTAAGAAAGAAGAACTTATTAAATCAATTCAGTATGTCAGAACTTATTAAATTAATTAAATATATTAGTGTGGGATATAAAACTATTTCTTCACAGATATACAAAATAAGATACCAGTATTAGTGAATTCTTAAGTCATAGTATCAAAAAATTGAGAAAGGAAAAAAATTGATAAATTAAAAATGTACCTGTTGTAGATCAACAATGTTTACTCGACCTTTAAAGAAAAGACATTCATTGACTTTAATTCATGTGTAAGTATACACCAGACAAAAACTGTAAATTTCAATAGATTTACATCTTGGACAGTTGAAGTTCCCCGTCTTCAAAGCACATAAAGCTATGCAAACCATTAGCTGAATACATCCTCGTGGCTGAAGGCACAGGCAATAATTTATTTTTGAAGTTTCATTTGTCACATTAGGCCAATAACGAACATCAATTGATTGATACACAATTTGGCCAGATCTATGGATTTAAGATGGACTTCCCTGGCAGAATTTATCTATTGTACCAAAGTGATACTGACAATTAAATTCGGATGAACTCATTTAAAAAAATTTTGGAATGAGTAGATTTCCATGTATTGGCAAAAGAAGTCTGTCAAGTATTCCAAATTATAGCTAATATTTTATTAGCAATATGGAGGAAGATGAACCAACACCAAGGGTATATCTGATAACATCTAATGAAGAGCTGTTTTCATAGTTGCTTATATTCTAATCAAAGTGTTCAAATTTGCTCAGTAGTTTGTTCAAATTAAAAAAAAGAAAAAAAACTTTTTTTATATGCTTATAATTGCATTTCCCATGATATATAGGTATAGCACCATATCGTTTCCTAATCTGCAAATACTTAAAGGTAAGTTTTTTTAAAAAAAGTGGCAGTATAGCTCTGATTTTCAACAATCTATAATCCTTCAAAATCTCTGTTCTCATTTCATAATTACCACCTGATAATAGACAGCTAAGCACCCTCCCCTGCGTCATGCAATAAATTCATGAACTGTGAATAGGAACAGTTGATTAATTCACACACAGAACACATAACTCATAATAATAAAAGATGCTATTTTGTAAAGTGACGATATTTGACTTCATTTAAATTATATGATCTTTACCTGAAGTTATTAAAAACATTAACGCTGATTTCCATATTAACAATTGAAAAGAATGTCCCACATCCTCCAAATAATTTATTAGTTATGTTTTATAAGTTTTTTCCCTCTTCCAAATAACCAGAAGAAAAAAAACTAAGGAATTACTTACCTCCTCGGACATGTAGCTCATCTCTCATTTCTTTACTAATTTGGGCTGGAGTAATATATTCCTTCCCATCAAGTGTGTGAACTACATCTAGCTGTTTCTGAGCAATCAATTTATTCACAATCTCAATGCAGTTCCGCTCTGACAACCTGAGGAAAACAAGAAGTTTTAAAATGCACTTGATACATTTGGTGCTTAACAAACTTAACAATGTATGAACTTTTAAAAAAAGTTTGGGTAAAAAGTCACTAAGATCTACATTACAAAATCTGTATCTTTGATTAGTATAACCATACTGATTCAATGTGTTAAAACACACACACACACACACACACACACACACACACACACACACCTCTTGGGAGTAAGCAGGTTTACATAAACTTAAATCATGTACCTAACTGGTACAAACCATTCTATTACAGAATATCAAGTCTGCTCTCTCCTACAGGCCTGCTTGTACCCTTCAAATCTGAATAGAAAAGTTAGCACATATAATTTAGGTAGCACATATAAATTAGGTAGCCCTACTTTTACTTCAATTCCCAGTTTAAGTTCAGTAAAAAAACCGAAACCAAACAAACCGGAATTTTCTTTAAGTGTATAATTGCCTACTAATATTGGTCTGTAGGCAGGGGATATGGCCTAGGAAAACCATGACTGCAACTGTTATCCAAGCTCTTAAGTATGTGCCCTAGTTTGCCCTCAGTACTACAAAATACAGTATTAAGGGATTAAGGTCTTCAAGCCCCATTGGGAACAAAAACATCGAAGTAAGAGATAGTCAATGGATAAAAAAGGATTCTATCAACATTGTTTATGTGTTCTGTAATATTAAAAAGCAGAATTAGGGTGCCCAGGACACAATCCCGCCAAGGTTGGTGGGTTTGCAAGAAATGTCAGTGTCCGGGAGTTCTTAAAAATGACGGATGGGACCATGGGTCTGGCCTGGCACACTCTCCTGGTGGACAAAAAAGGCAAAATGTTTAAAGGGTCAACACAGCATTTACAAAGTACTGCATTTTGTTGTTGCCTCTCCCTTCCAGCTCATTCTAGGTCAGGAAGTGCATAATAATCAGTGATGCCATAGGGGGTTGGGTAAATAAGGATCTGAGGGACACTCTTAAGACAGTGAGAAATCAACAGCTTCAGCCATCAAGAGGGCGGGGCGCGGCAGCACTTGGCTGGGGCATGGCTGGGGGCGGGGGACGGTCCCGGGCGTAGTAGCTTTCGGGGTTCAAAGCTGGGAACTATACTTGGAACTGCAATCCAGGCTCGGGGAGGAAGGTGAGGGCGAAATCGGTGACGCAGCCTGGGAAGGTGCGGGGTCCAGAGCCAGGGATCTGCGGCCTCAGATCTCGGCGTGACTACCCAGGGGCTATTTTGGATTCTGCAACGAAAAGGGAGGGTCAGGCACCTCTGTGTGGCCTCGGCGAACTGCGCCCGCTGAAAGTCAGCCGCCAACCGCCTGATCTCCTCCCAGGCGTCCGCCATCCCGGCCCTACTCGCAGAGGCTCCGAAGAACTGCCGACACGTCAGCCTAAAGGAAGCGGGAGCCGAGGCGGAACGGGCCGCGCGGAGGGACAAGAGACTCCTCCCCCGACGCAGATACCGAACGCGCGCGCCCCGCTCCGGCAGGCACTGGCCGGAACAGCCTCAGCCCCGCCCACCTCACGTGGCGGGGAGCGTCCTGCTTTTTGTGAGGCTGAAGGGCCTTGTTTGGGAGCCAGGTGGCTAGGTTCCTGGAATACTGCAGGCGGGATGCAGGGGGCTCAAGTTAGTAAAGTGTTACTTTAGGTTTTTGTATTGTCAATAGTGTTTCAGAGCAGTGTTGATCAAATTAACTACTTTTATTTTTCTTGTGCCCTTCATTTGTTTTTGGGGGAGGAAAGGGGGAGGATATGTGCCTGTGCCTGCGATTAGTATTTCTTCTTCCCTGGCTATTAAGGAGCAGTCCGTAGTGAATTATGTTAATTTTTATATGGACACAGAGCAATTGTACCTTTTGGGTGACAAATGGGAGACAGTACTTGTTATGCCCAGAATTCATGATCCCCAAAGACCACTAGGGAGCCGAGTCCGATGCAAAAGCAAAGAGCCTTTATTCGAGCTAGCTCGAGCTCAATCCCCTACCTGCACCGACGCAGCGGTGAGATACCAGGGAAAGAGGGCGAGTTTCAAAAGGACAAAGGTTTTATTGGGGCCTGGGGGCAGGTGGTGAGGTAATGGCTATGGCCTCAGCCGATTGGCTGGGGGAAGGGTCCTGGGGAAGGGTCGAGTCCTGTTAGGCAGGTGAGGGGGGGTTACTCAAGGGGAGGAGGTGTGGTCAAGGTGAAGGACACAGAACAAGATGGAGTCGGCTGGCGTAGGCCCGCCCTTTCAGTACTGAAGGTAGGTACTCTATTTTTTTGCACAAAGATGATGAATTTGGGTACCGTTAAAGGTTGGGAATTGTTTCCTGTTATTCTAGATTTAGAACGTCATTCTTTCCCGTTTCTCCTACAGGGAATATTGGCTCTATCAAGTAATGAAATAGGAACATATATATGCATATATAGCTACCGATGAAATGGAGGAAGCAAAGGGCACCTTTATTTTGCTTTACTCTGCATTGAAATCAGTAAAAGGTGGGTATTTACTCTGAAGTAATTTACTCTGAAGTACTCATTCTCTGTCAGATACCATGGATTACATTGGTTGGTAAGGCAGATATGATCTTGCCATAAACAACTTATAAGTCTAATGAAGCAGATTTTTTTAGTACTTAATATAAACTATAAAAAGTAGAACAATAGGGAAAATATAGCATACCATGTGATCACTTGGCATCCAAACTTGTTACTTACTATATAGGACTCTGTCAGCCTGGAGTCTACTTTTTGGCAGCATCAGCTGCTGCACACCACATGTGGATTGTGGCCTAGACACACCAAACCCTTTCAGTATCTTTTCTGGAATGCCTGTCCTATTCCTCACTGCACCATGCCCCCATTTATTTTGTAACTTATTTTTCCATGATGTCCCAGATTAAATAAAACTCTTCAATGAAGCCTTTTTTAAATTCCTACAATTATTGTAGGAGTTATATATATGGTGTCTAGTAGCTAAATGCTATTATTGTCTCTAATAACAAGAAAAACTACATTGCAATTTTTACTTACTATGTCTCTAAGTCTGAGCTCCTCGGTGCTCCTTAGCATTAGTATGACATCGGGTACATAGTACCCTGGTATACTCCGTATAGGTTAAATGAACAAGTCAGTGTAACTGTTTTGGTGCAGCATTTTACTTTGGTATAGTAATAACATTTACATTTATTCCTAAAAAGCAATAATTCCTAAAAAAGGAATAATTACTGATTGTATTTTTTAGATCCTAGAGTAAAATGGTAGCCACTAGGAAGATGAAGCTATTTAAAGTAAAGTTAATTAAAATTAAATAAAATTATACCAACAATGAACAAGTGGAATTTGAAATTGAAAACACAATACAACTAGCATGCCCAAAATTACATTGGCACCCCCCAAAATGAAATACTTAGGCATAAATTTAGCAAAATATGTACAAGATCTATATGAAGAAAACGACAAACTTTGATGAGTGAAATCAAAGAAGAACTAAATACATGGAAAGGTATTCCATGTTCATGGATAGGAAAACTCCAGGAAATCTTATATTTTCAAGATGTTAGTTCTCTTTAACTTGATCTATGATTCAATACAATCCCAATCAATTTCCCAACAAATTGTTGGGTGGATATTAACAGTCTTATTGTGAAGTTTATATAAAGAAGCAAAATACCCAGAATAGCCAACACAATATGGAAGAACAAAGTTGGAGGACTGACACTACTGGACTTTAAGACTTACTATGAAACTACACTAATCAAGATAATGTGGTATTTGTCAAAGAATAGACAAATACATCAATGGAATAGAATAGAGAGTCCAGAGATAGACCAATATAAATATAGTCAATTAATTTTTGAGAAAGGAACAAAAGAAATACAATGGAGAAAATACAATCTTTTTGACAAATGTTACTGGAATAATTGGATAGTCACACACACACACACACACACACACACACACACAAATGACTATAGATACAAAACTTAAAGCCTTCATAAAAATTACATTTGGAGTGGTCTGCCTGCATGGCTCAGTGGGTTGAGTGTCCAACTTGTGATTTCAGCTCAGGTCATGATCTGAGGGTCATGGGATTGAGCCCCGCATCAGGCTCCGCACTGAGCACAGAGCCTGCTTGAAATCCTATCTCTCTCCCTCTGCTCCTCTCCCCTGCTTGTGTTTGCACTCTCTCTCTCAAAAAGAAAATTACATTTGGATCATAGATCTAAAAGTAAAATGCTACTATAAAGCCCATAGAGATAACAGGAGAAAATTTAGATGACTTTGGATATATCACTGACTTTACAGATACAATACCAAAGGCACAACACATGAAAGCAAGAACTGAAAAGCTGGACTTGATTAAAATTGAGAACTGGTCTGCTAAAGCCCAAGTTAAGAGAATGGAAGACAAGATATAAACTGGGAGAAAATCTTTGCAAAAGACATTTCTGATAAAGGACTGCTATCAAAATATACGAAGAAGTCTTAAAACTCAAAAGTAAGAAAACAAGGAGCCCAATTAAAAAATGGGCCAAAGACCTTAACAGGCATCTCACCAAAGAAGATGTATAGATGGCAGAGCCACCTATAAAAGGATGCTCTGTATCATGTCATCAAAGAAACACAAATTGAAATAAGATATCACTACACAACTATCAGAATGACCAAAATATGGAATATTGACAATACCAAATGCTGATGAGGATGTGAAGCAATAGGAACTCATATTTGTTGCTAGTGGGAATGCAAAAAGGTACAGCCACTTTGAAAGTTTGGTGCTTTCTTACAAAATATAAAAATACTCTTACTCTACAATTGAACACTTGCACTCCTTAGTATTTACCCAAAGAAGTTGAAAACTTATGTCCACATAAAAACCTACACACAGATATTTAAGGCATCATTATTCATAATTGCCAAAACTTGGAAGCAGCTAAGATTTCCTTCAGTAGGTGAATGGATAAATGAACTATGATACATCCAGGCAATGGAATATTATTCAGCACTAAAGTGAAATGGGCTATCAAGTCCTGAAAAGACATGGAGGAACCTTAGGTGCATACTGCTAAGTAAAAGAAGCCAATCTGAAAAGGCTACATACTGTGTGATTCCAACTATATGACATTATGAAAAGGCAAGACTATAAAGGCACTAAAAAGACCATTGATTGTCAGGGGTTGGGGAAGGTGGAGGGATGAATAGGCAGAGCCTGGAGGATTTTTAGGGCAGGGAAAACACTATGATATTATAATGATGGACGTGTGTTGTTATCATACATTTGTCCACACCAATAGGATGTAGGACACCAAGAGTGAGCCGTAATGTAAACAATTAACTTTGAGTTATTATGATGTATTAATGTAAATTCATCATTTATAACAAATGTTCCACTTTGGTGAGGGGATTTTGATAATGGAGAGGCTACATATGTGTGGGTGCAGAGAATCTAGGGGACATCTTTATACCTTCCTTGCAATTTTCTTATGAACCTAAAACTGCCCTTAAAAAACAGTTTAAAACTTTAAATAAAATATAAAAGTTAGTCCTTCATTCACAATAGCCACTTTTCAAATGTGCAATAGCCATATGTGGCTCATGGCTATCTTATGGAACAGTATAGAAAACCATTTTCATCTTCAACAAGAGCTCTATTGGACAGTCCTGGTTTCAATCTTTGATAAAGACACACATTTGTTCACTCTGAAATCATGAGACTCAAAACAACTATCTGCACCTAACAACTATACCTTAACTGCAGTATCAGTTATTTTGAATGGGGAATAAGAATGAAAGGGGACTATTTCAATGTTGGCTAACATCATGATAAAGAGTAGAGGAGCTTTAAGTAATCTAATGTATGAATAGGATAATGGTAAACAGTACAAGTGGCTACTGAATAAGAGATGAAAGATTCCTCTTAAGAACAAACTGTATGTAGACTTGGAAAATAGAGCTTCATTCCTCTAAAAAAACCTTTCTAACAGCTTGTGTCTACAGACTTAAGTCAAATTTTTGACATGTATATTATGTGGGAAGGACTCATGGTCCTTCACTACACTAGGTACATGATTGTGTATGGACGCTACACTAGGTACATGACTGAGAAACCATCCTCAGATTCATTTTAAATTCAAAGGCTAATAAAATATTCTAACATTTGTAATGTGGATTGATAGTTTCTTTGATGATATGAGATGTGATCCTGTAAAATTCCTCCAAGGTAAACCATACTTTTAATAAAATTTAAAGACTTTTTCTTTTTTACTAGAAAATAAAACAATAAAATGTGAAGTACTTTTTCCAACTCAACTAGGAAAATAAACCCAAGCAACTGCAAAATGTGTATTCTTAACCAAGTCATTG